GACCTCAATCCATACAGAGACTCTCTGAATCGTCATTTCAGCTATCGTCATGTCCGACTACGAAGATGAGATGGACGTGGATGCTCCCGCGGTAGACAACTCGATCACTTTCGGCGGAGACCAGAAGAAGGGCAAGAGGAGCGCTGCAAATCTACCCGTTGAAGCTGAGGACTCTCTGCCATGGTGAGTCTGACCCATTTTCGTCTTCTGCACACCTGCTGAATGTCAGATAGGGTAGAGAAGTACCGACCAAATTCCCTCGATGACGTCGAAGGCCACAAGGACATAATAGCCACCATCAACAAGTTTGTAGACTCGAATGTGCGACCAAAAGCCTACTCAGAAGGATCACCGCTAACATTCACAGCGACTACCCCATCTCCTCCTCTACGGCCCTCCAGGTACCGGAAAGACTTCGACCGTCCTCGCACTCGCACGCCGCATATACGGAAACAAGAACATGCGACAGATGGTCTTGGAGCTGAACGCCTCAGACGACAGAGGTATTGATGTTGTGAGGGAGCAGATCAAGACATTCAGTAGCACAAAGCAGATCTTCTCTGCGGCACCCAAGGCAGGAGACTCATCGCTGGCAACGTTCAAGCTCATTATCCTCGACGAAGCCGATGCTATGACTGCGACCGCGCAGATGGCCCTGCGACGAATCATGGAGAAGTACACTGCGAACACTCGCTTCTGTATCATCGCCAACTACACACACAAGCTCTCGCCCGCGTTATTATCACGATGCACGAGGTTCCGATTCTCCCCGCTGAAGGATCAGGACATCAGGAATTTGGTCGATAAGGTCATTGAGGAGGAGAAGGTTAACATCACGCGAGACGCGACCGACTCGCTCGTCACGCTCAGCAAAGGAGACATGAGACGGGCACTTAACGTACTACAGGCCTGCCACGCATCAAGCACGCCGCTTCAGACACCCGGCAAGCCCTCACCCGACCCATCCACGATCGTGCGCGACGAGATCACGCAGACTACCATCTACGACTGCATAGCGGCACCACACCCGTCGGATATCAAGTACATCATCGAGACGTTACTATCGAAGAACGACATGACAGAGTGCTTGCGCACGGTCAACAACCTGAAGATCATGAAGGGACTCGCGCTGGCAGATATCCTGACCGCGATCAGTGAGGAGCTAGTCAGCAACGACGTGCCTCCGCAGGTTATGGTGACTTGGATGGCAGGTCTGGCAGACATCGAGTACAGGTTGAGTGGAGGTGGTAACGAGGCCATACAAACAGGCGCAGCGATCGGCGTTGTGAGGACAGGTGTTGAACTATTGGAGACCGGAAAGAAGTAGCACGTTCGCGGCACTAGTCGTGGAAGGAGGACAAGAGCGAATTGCTAGAAATGATACCATTGGAACGCGCAAAAGTAATGCGACAAGACTACATCCGCACCACCCAAAGATCGCAGCCGTGATGATACACTACAAGAAAGTGGGGCAATATGTCTCAGGATACTCAAGATCACCGTGGTGATAGGACGAGAGTCGTGTTTTGCGCTAACCACGCTAGTCAACACCCACGCGACTCGGACGCGCCTTCCGATAGACGTACCCCGGGATATATACACGACGCATCAACAATCAACACAGTTATCTTAGTCGCGTTCCTCAAAGTCGAAGATATTTTCGTCCCTGTTTCCCATACGAAACACGTCCGACCACCTTTGATATTGAACAACCCAATACGCGCGACGCGCATGCATACTCCGATCATGCCTGTAAAGGTAAGTCAACTTGCGCGACGAATGATCAGACACTAATATCAAACAGAGAAGAGAAGGTCCAACAAAGCAGCGACAAGTCAGTCTGCGCAGAAGTAGAAGCATCGATGCACTTGCTCTTCCTGTGATCACAGAAACAACCAAGTTGCAAGAGCGTCGAGCAATCGAGGGAAAGAGCAAGCGGCCGCCTAGGTGGCGAGGGCCTGTAAGTATTATATATACATGGCGCAAAGTCACCCAGGCTCATATCGCCGCAGCAGCAGAACAACCATCCTTTATCCCATAGGCCAGCGCCTACCATGCCATCGCAAAGAGAGTCGATACCAGCACGTGACCGCAAGAACAGTCAAGAGAGCCAGCCACCACCATCATCAAACATCCAACTCCGCTTCTCTTTCTCCAAATCCTTCATCGATGATGTCGAGCGACAAGTCCATTCCGAGAATAACTTCAACCAAAGTTTCTCGGAGCTGACCATGACCCCCGGTGCTAGCTTCTCCTCCTCGAGTTCGCAGTCTACCACCAAGGCATCGCCGGTCCAACCCATCCAACCACAAACGTCCATCTACCACCAACCTCCCGTCTTGATCAAACCGGGTAAGAAAAGAGAAGGCTATGGGTTCAGTTACTCAGAGACGTTCATGTACGATTCGGACGACTACCCCGACACGGAGTGCGGGGACGCTGATGATCAATCTTCTGAGCTACATACTACGAGGTCACTGGATAGTAATCCGTATCTGAACTGGGACGGTACGATAGGATCACAACAATCACAACACGGGCAACAATCTCACCTATCCCAACAATCACTGTCCTCAACAAGGCCATCATCACGAGACTCCACAGCAACAATACCAACCCCAACAACCTCCTTCGACGACCTCGTCGTTCTCCGCCCCCCAGGCTCCTTCCACCTCGCCCGCCCACAACGCCACCTCCCATGCACGACCGCAACGCGTGAAGACGCGCTCGCCCTCCGCGCCTCCGCTACTTTACTCCTCTCGAAGTACACGGAGTCCTCATCGATTCAACTCGCCCTGCTAACACGCATGGAGCGCATGATGTATCTGGAGCAACAGAAGCCTGGTGCGACGGAAGATAGTGTAGCGGAGAGTTTGGAAGCCTGCGTGCGGAGGCTGAGGGATTGGTTGGTGAAGAGTAAGGATGAGAGGATTGAGACGGGGGAGTGGAGGGGCGTTGTGGAACATGAGATTGAGTGGGTGGAGTGGATGGTAAGGGCGGCTGAGAGGGGCGTGTTGCATGTTAGGAGGAGGGGGTGTCGGTGTCGGCCGGAGTGGGAGGGGCTGTGAAGATGAGGCTGGGACCGGCGTGGGGGCGGGAAATCCCGACAGCTGCTCGCAGCTTTGAGTACCAATGGACCTCTTTGCACTGCAATTTCTAGCGCGGAGCTGCGAGTATGTGAAAAAGGTAGCCAGTAATCTACGACCGTTCGCACAGCTACCCGCTGCATGTTATATGTATGTTCGCACTGCAATCTCTAGCGCGGAAGAGAAGGTATGTAAGGGAAGCAGCCAACCATGCAGCTTTCCAAGAACTCGAAGGCTATCAAGAGGCTTCTTCAAAGCACCGTAATTGGCTATCACAACAAGCCATACGCACGCTGAGTTCAGATTGGCTTAGTGACTAGTCAGCACACGTGCCTTCTTTCAGGCCAAGCTGCACTGCAATCTCTAGCGCAAAGGAGCGAGTATGTACATGGAAGAAGCAGCCAATAATCCACGTCTTTTGCACAGCCTTGTTGCGCATCACTGCAAGTCATGCGGGCCTAGGGGAACGGTGGCTGGGGCACTCTGCACTGCAATCTCTAGCGGCGACGAGCACGTAGGCGGAATATATGTAGCCAATAATTCACGTCTTTCGCACAGCCCTGTTACACATCGCTGCAAGCCACACGAGTTCAGACCACATCGGCTTCGGAGTTCATTGGTATGAAGGACGCGCAGAAATGGTGGCTGAAGGACTATGCATTACAGCCCACCGGTGAGGCTGAGAACAGGGGCCTGCCTCACTGCACTGCAATCTTTAGCGCGGAGGAGCAGGCATGGATGCCAACCGTGGAAGGATGTAGCCAGAACAAAAAAGCCTTGAAAGACAGCCAGTAATGCGTGACTTTTCCACAGCCTCGTCGTGCAATGTAACGAGCCACGCGGGTTAGATTCGGGAGTTACCATCGATACGGTACCTGGAAAAAGGTAGTAGTACCAATTCAACGACTTTTAAGCAAATACAGACATGCACTGCAATCTCTAGCCTGGACGAGGCCTCTCAGCCACGTGCGTACTAAAATCGAGAGCGCTCTCTGGCTCCGCGATGGACATGCAATCGTTGGTGCTATTCGAGGTCGTGCGGAAGTCCGGTTCAGATGCGTGATGTGGCAGGTGTGATGCCTTTTGGTGTAGGACATGCCTGGGAACGGTTCAAGAAGCCGTTCGACCCTACCCGAGCGCGGCCTGTACTTACGACCCACGTGAGTTCATACCACATCGGATCCGGGAGCCACTGGTATGGAGGGACGCGCAGTTATCGTGGCTGGACAACTATGCTTTGCCCACCGGTGAAGCTGAGACGGGGGTCGACTTTGCCAAGTCGCTGGGGCTCTCATTGGTCGTTGTAGATGCGGCTCTGAGCTTCTAAAAGTGTGCCTCCTTTTGTGTATCACAAGGAGGCAGACGACTGCACTGCAATCTTTAGCGCGAAGGAGCAGGTTTCCTTGCCAAGGAAGCCATGAATGCAGGGCGTTCGCGCAGGCCCATTACGCACTGCTCGGCATTCGTCCACAGTTCGTCATGCGTCTGCCAGGCTGCAGAATACTTATATAGAATCCCTGCCTTAGACCAGCATCTCAATTGTAGAGGAGCTGACTCCCCAGGAAACAGAGAGCGGCGGTGACCCGACCTCGGGAACGTCTGGATCGCCAGCGCCTGCACTGCAATCTCTAGCGGGGAAGAGGCTATCTCACCGTGTACCAAGACCGAATTAGCTTCCGGAACGTCAGAAGATACTAGAACGTCTTTCGCTATTCGGCTCCGTGCAAATGCGTTCTCCCATGCGCAACGCAGTTATTGTGGTATGGGTGATATCATATCCATTGCTTAGGTACATAGCATGCTCGGAAACATTTCCGAACGCTTGTCGGACCTTTCCGAGCGCAACCGTGTACTTCAATATCGGCCTTCCAACTATCCAAGAACTCCCTCGAACTTCTGGCTTGGGCAAATAACATGATCAAAGCGACAAAGTACTTGTCCAAGTCAAATATTGGTCGCCGCCTCAATGTGCCCACTACCCGTCGACAAATGTACTCCACCACCGCGCCACGCGTAGCAGTCCTATACCAAGAACTCTCACCACCATTAATCAACGGGGTGCGCAAACCCAAGAAGCCCGGAGGTACGCATCCGCATCTCGCAAGTAAGACCCTTCGCGGCCACGTTGACAATTCTACCAAGGATACATCGACTCCAGTGCAGACATCGCCTACTCACTAACCCACCAACACCACAGCCTAATCTCCTTCGTCACACCCGTCTCAACTCCAGATCCGCAAAAAGATGCAGACTGGTGCTTTGGCGATTCCGAGGCCGGAGTTACGCGTGCGCTGGAGAAGGGGGTGACGCACTTTTCGGCTAACACTATACTCTTCGCGGAGCATCCGCTTCAGACGGCAGAGAGTCTGACGAGTGTGGATGAGACGTTGAGGGTTGTAGGACAGCCCCCAAAGCTGGTCGAGCTGTGCGATGACAAGGCATTCGTCAACAATCTCCTCCGTACTCGTGGTGGGTTTACGCTGCCGGATGCACACGACGTTCACGACCACGAAAGTCTTGCGGCAGTGCTCCAGGCGGATCTTCGCTATCCTGTTGTCGCCAAGCCGGTTAGAGGACGAGGAAGCCACGGAGTGAGAGTATGTCGCTCCGAAGACGAACTGATCGACCATTGCGGCGATTTACTGGGAGAGGATGCGTATGTGATCGTCGAAGACTTTCTTGCGGGTCAGGAAGTCACTGTTACTGTTATGCCGCCTTCGCCTGCGACGGGACGGGAGGGGTATTGGGCGATGCCGGTTGTGGAACGGTTTAATCACGCTGAAGGTGGGTTGGCGTTGTGGACTTGGGAAAGCGGATGTAATGCTCACTGACTGCTCACAGGTGTGGCACCGTACAATGGCACAGTCGCTGTGCTTCAGAACTCTCGGTGTCTTTCCGAAGACGAACACATGGCCGATCCACAGTATGGTGAGGTACAGCGACAGTGTGTTGAAGTGGCGAAGTTGCTTCAATGTACTGCTCCTATCCGAGTTGACGCTCGTCGGTTCACGGAGGATGGATCGTCACCGTTCGCTCTTTTTGATGTCAATATGAAACCAGTAGGTCAATTGAGAGTTGCTGTTGATGACATGGCTAAACTGTGACTAGAACATGACCGGTCCTGGTAGGCCTGGTAGAGAGAATCAAGCTAGCCTGACGGCACTGGCTGCTGCTGGCTTGGGATGGGACTATCCGACTCTGCTGTTGAAGATTCTTGAGTCGAGCGGTTCGCTGCATGACTTGAGAAACTCCAGATCGTCGCGTATTATTGGTTAGTACTTTGGATAATCGAAAATACTACGCTTGTAGTTTAGCGCACAAAATGAGGTCTTGAGAGGATGTGTAACATGTACTTTGGTTTGAGGAATCGCTCCTTACGTGTGAGACACGCACTGCTTGTATATCGGACGAAGTCATATCATTACAATAGTCTGCTCCCTGGCATTAGAGAAGAGAGCATCGGTCCAGACCTGAAACTTGGATCGTAAATGGCCAGGATGTATGTAGCTCTGGTAGAGCCGCCAGTGGACGTGTCCAATACGCCGATATACTTCACACGAATCGCCTGTATCTCCACCACTAGTTGATGGTACTAGGGTGATAACTAAAGCGTCGTACAAGGCTTCGTTACCGTCAACACATATGCCCAGCGGGATAACAGTGTATACCGCCATGGCTGTGGAAGGGTTTTGGTCTTCATCCCAGGCCAGCCCCCCGTCAGCCTCGTCCAAGTCGGAGAAACATGGGTTGTCCAAGCCCAGATCATATTCATCACCGTCTGTAGGCAGAGAAAGGGAACAGAGCCGAGCACGGAGCTTCAAAGCGCCCTTCTTGATGTTGCCATATTGGTTGCTGGGTTCAGCTAAGGAAGTTTGCACGTCCATCATCTCTAGTAGCTCTTCCGAATGCGCGCTGTGTTCACGTGAAGGATACTGAACTCCGCCGTTTACCGATGCCCAGCTCCAGGATGGCGCAATAGTGAGGTACGATTCCCTTGCTGTGGCGGAACACGGAGTCTTGGAGCTCCAGGAGAGGCACATGAAGAGGTGCGACCCCCATATGCCAGCATAATATTCATGTCCAAACCGTTCAGTTGGTACACACCTTGCAATCGATGACAAAGCGATCAAACGGTCTGTTTGCAATGTGAATTTCGAAAGTGAATAGAGCTCAATGAAAGCTAGCCAATTTCCAAAGACCATCAAGGAAGCGTGGTGCGGTCCTACGTTTGTTCCGATCTTGCCGTCTATGGCGTAATCTTCATCATCGATCTCATCATCGTCCTCGTCGATTTTTTGACACTCCCAAAAGACACCCTCTTCAGTGAAATGTAGTATTCTCCGCGAAAGTAAGCGTTCTTGTGCAACCCAGCCGCGTCTGTTCAGATTGGAAGCGACGACCGAAGCGTACCACGGCGAGATACCCGTAGACATGACCAGAGGCTCTAGCGTACCGTATGTGATCCCTTTCTCAGGAATGACACAGGGTGGATTGTAATCGATCCCAACTTTATGCAAAAAGCCGTCGCTGGGTTGTTCCGAGCAAGTAGCTGAGATAGTGCAAATTGCGTTCTGGTAAACCAGCCACATACGTGGTCCTTCCAGATTCCAGTCAGTGTAGTCGTCGTGTGCTCTAGGTTGAATTATGCATAAGGCATCAATCCAGAGAAATCGTATCCCTAAGCCTCGTGCAACAGTGATCGCATCTTGGAACGTTTGTGGCATGGCAACAAGGAATATAATCCGGTCCGTAGTGGGTTGGGTACGCAACATACAAGCTGGTGGCTGTTGACCCCAACGATAGCTCAATGTACAGTATTTGGCAAGTTCATCCACCGTGGCGCGGTTCATAGCAATCCATTCTTGCGTGTCAAGCGTGAGAACGACATCTTCGTGGGACAGATCGAGCAGACGACGTGGGAGCGAGGCTACCTTCACTGATAGATCCACTTCGCATGGCTTACAGAGATCATGATTGCCCTTGTCACAAAGCATGCAGGCATCCAAAAGCTCACGGGCACGCAGGACCGGGTCGTGAAGAGCTTCTAATGCCCGAGCCTCGATGAAGGAATAGCTCAAGCTCTGACACATATAGAGACTATGGTGATCGGAACACCCGGGATCTTCGAAACACACGCCGATCTCGTCGAGTTTGATACGGCCGTTGAGGTCTCGGAGCACAATCGGAGATCGGCCGTTGATGCGTCGAATGTTTGCCGCAGAAACCTTCTCTATATCTTTCCGGATGAAGGAGCACATATCGCATCCGCTGTCGGCAGATTTGATTAGTTCAGGTCCAGAGGACCATGTGCGAAGGTCGACGATGCCATATGAACGCGATGTCGAATATACGACCTTGCTACACTCGTAGCAACGAGGCATGCTCCCAGATCCTGGCCCTGATCCTGCCGGTTTCGCAACTCGAATGAACCGAAAGATCCGATGTTCTGGGAGAAACTACGGTCGAATCGAAAAGGCTGTAAGACGGCTATATCACTTTTAAGAGCTGAGCATGAGCGTTTGCGTCTGAGTTGTGACCGCCGGTTCGAGAAGCGGAGGCTGGCAACGATAAATCAGGAAGTGGCCATGTCGGCGGCAGCGTAAGAGGTTTCGAAGGTGCAGGACGGTAAGTATAGGTTTAGACCTGACAAGAGAAGTGAAGAGACAAGGCTCAACCATCTTCACCGGTCGGGGTGCACCACCGAGACACTGAGGCTGAGTCCGCCAAGCTTCCTTCGCTGCGCCTGCATCTTCAGGCGCCCCGTCAGTTTTGCCGTATGCTGTGATGCCAAAGCAGTATCAGTATCGATGTCAATGCCGGCACCGCATCGCTGTGTGTTTGGCTGCGGCCTGTGGTTAGCTGTTGTGCGTGATGATGCAGGTGGTGGAGGCAAAGTGAAGTTGAGGCGCGGCTTCCCGCTTGTCGCCTGTCCAGCAGCCCCGCCAAGAAACACACGCGGAAGGCTTCAATCGAGCCAAGTGAACTTATGATATCTTTAAATGTGCGCGATACATCATGATCATAAGCAATGCAACAATGAAGATGATGTGATCTGTTTCTTTACCACTACTTCCCCAAAACTACCTATACCACGCTATGCTACCTGTCTGTCTGTCCATCCTATCATACACTAGAACTTGGTATCCATACCCATAACGAATCAATAAAACCCTCCTCAAACCCTCAGCCAAGAAGTCAACAACGCCATAAAAATGCTCAAACACCCCCTAACCAGCCGACCAATCACCCAGAAACGCCCCTGCCCATCTCAGCAGCCACCCGTTCTTCATCCTAATAAACCACAGGTTCAGCCGCAACACCCCACCTCTCACTTACACGCATCTTGACAGCGAAGCTCTCGAACTGCCACGTCTTACTCCGCTCATCGAGTGTCTGTTGGAACCTTGTACCAGTACATGTCCCGATGGCGTAGATCCCGTCGTGCGCTTTTCGGTTATTGCAACCGTAGCAGACCTATCGTCTACGGTAGATATCCGCGTCTCTTTCCCTGTTATCCCTGTTATCACGTCTTTGATCTCTACGGTCTGGACTGCGTGACCGTGTCCGTCCGTCTCTTCGTTCCCTCGCGAAACCTCTCGCGTCATTCCGATCGGGTCGATCTCTGTACGCGCGGTTCCGGTCCGAGCGGTCATCTGTGTATCCTTCTCGTGAATTACCCGAATCGCGGGAGCCGCGGCGAGGTCGATCGTCTGGTTCGCGGGAACGGCGGGGGCCTTCTGCGCCGTAGCTGGGTATGTAGGTGTCGCCGCCGGCGGTAGCTGGCGGTTGTCTCCTGCGGTCTGCGCCATCGGGGCCGTAGCGGGGGACGGGTGGGAGGGGGTGACGGCCGTCGGCGGGAGGTGGTGGGAGACCGTTGTGGCCTCTGTCTGCGCCGTTGCCCCAGTTCGGTCGGCGGTCACCACCTGGTGGTGGGGGTGGAGGGCGGTGTTCGTAGCGGCGGTCGTAGCCTCCTCTTTGGCCTCTGTCGACGCCTGGTGGACCGCGATCTTGTGGGCCGCCGTATCTTCGGTCGCCATTCTGCCATGATTGCGGTGGTGGGCCTTGGCCGGTCCATTCGCCGTTTGGACCGCCGCCGACTGTTCCGCCTTGTGGTGCTGGTGGTAGTGCTTGCTTCTGGCCTCGCGCGTTCCGTCGATCTAGCTCGTGTGAGTCGGCAAAGGTAGGGATGTCTTCCTCGCGCATAGGAAGTGGCTGTTCTCGGAAGTATGGGTGATCGATGGCGTCGATGGCATTGATTCGTTTCCGCCAGTCGAGCCTCATGAGGTCTTTGATGAGCGATAGTCCTACGGGCGAGAGCTCGCGGAACCGTTGAGCGATAGTACCGGTATGGACGGGGAATGCGCGTATGGGTTCGGCGCCAGGGAGATCGCGCCACCCCGGCATGCTGTCGTCGTTTGGCGATCCGACAAGCTCGAAAATTATCTGGGCCTGGTGGATGTCGCTCTGTCCTGCGAGGATGGGCTTGCGCTTGAACATCTCGCCAAAGACACAGCCCGCACCCCACATGTCGATAGCCGGGGTGTACTTCCTGAGCTGCAGAAGAAGCTCCGGAGGCCGATACCATCTAGTCACAACCAATGTAGTGTATTCGCGCTTCGCTTCGCCGTTGCCTCTGCCTCGTTGTGGTACCGCTTCGTCGTAGTGTCGCGCGAGACCGAAATCTGCTATTTGTAGGCGTCCGCGGTTGTTGATGAGAAGATTGGCGGCCTTCATGTCTCGATGTAGGATGTGGTTATCGTGGAGGTATCGCAGGCCTTTGAACAGCTGCAGCATGTAGCATTTGATTTGCGCCTCCTTGAACTGGACTTCGGGGTTGTCGAGGAGACCCGATAGATCGTGGTCTGCGTATGGGGTGACCATGTACAAGATGGCGCGTTTCCTGCCCTCGGTCTTTGGTCGTTCTACGGCCATCTCTTCCAACTTGAGGACGTTGTCGTGCGATAGCATCTTGAGCAGCTTGATTTCTCGTAGCGCCGTAATAGGGAAGCCATCTTTTTCGTTGTGCATCAGGATCTTCTTCAGTGCAAAGATGCTGCCGGTAGCCTTTTGTCGCGCCATGTGGACTTCACCAAAAGTGCCCTCTCCAAGCTTCTTCATCATTTCGTATTCGCCAATCTTGCTGCATCCTTTGAATCGTCGCTGCAGGGTCTGCGATGGCGTCGCGCCTGCCGAGTTCGCCATGTCGGCGGCGGTGGTGGTGGCTTGGATTCGCGATGGAATGTTCGCGGCTACGCTTTGTACCGGCTGCTAGTGGTCCTCGGCGCAGATGTCCGCAGGGGAGTCGGGCTATTTCTCGAACCCGGTGGCGTGATGTAGCGAGATTTACGTGGTCGCGATGGCATGCGCTGCCGTGGATGGGAGTTGCAAAGCAGAAGCTATTGTGCGGGCATGATAATAGGCCTGGACATCATCGTTGGTGAAGGAGCAAAGAACGCGATCCACGGTTGATGGCACAGCCTTGGCGCCGCACGCTAGCGTAGCCTCCGATCGACCTTAACCACACGTCCATCACGAAGACGTCAACAGGCCATTGCACCCCATAGCAACCAGGTACGATACCTTACTACCCTCCGAAGACATCTCACGATACTGAGAACCCAATAGGCTCCCAGTCATCATGCAACCCACACGAGCCCGCATGGGCCCGCCCAAATATGCGCCGCACCCAAACCACCCCATCCACATCCACCCAGTCCGACCGCTATACCGATTCATGGCTACTGGCCTCGGCGCCTCCATGTGGTTCTTCGTATGTCGAACGCATAGATTAAAGGTGGCATAGCGCTAACAATGGCAGTTGATGTACCGCGCGAAGAAGGACGGACCCGCGCTTCTCGGCTGGAAGCATCCTTGGGATCACTGAGCTCTTGATGAGCATCAGGAGGGGTGTGAAATATATGACAAGCAATTGGGGTCCATATTGGGCATGGCGGATGTACATACTATGGATGACGCAGGATGCGGAAACCAAGACCGGTAACTGTGATATCCCGCGCAGACAGCGCCAAGAAATTCGAACTCCAAGAAGATCATGCCAATCGTACCACTGCCATGGATAAGTGCTCATACTGGTGACTTTGTGGATGAGCATATGGAAATGGTTCAGCAAATTGAAGATTGGGAGAAGCATTCCACGCTCTGGAGCTCACTCTGCGCCGGGCTCGGCCGATTTGCCCTTTCACTACCATGAAGACCTGCCACAATAGCTACAATAGCACCTGATCCGTAACGCGATTTGCTGGCAGTCTTGGCGAGTCGAACAATGCTTTAACCCGCACCGCCTCTGACGCTGTGAACTACCATCGCCCCTCTGCTACCCAGCTCAACACCACTGGCACAGACACACTTCTTGCACCCACGCTCCCTGAACCGTCAGCACTTCCATCGGTTGATTTCCTCCATCACAGACTTTCATCCGCTGTGCACTTCACAGTCCTTGCTAGACACATCGATCCTCACTGGTCCTGCTTTGCCACTCCTTATCACACACGCATATACAGACTACTATTGTCACCTCCGAGCACAGCCTAGTCGACCGCAGTCTTGTAAGGCGTTAAAATTAACTCAATGGGTCAAGATCTAACATCATAGAGGCCATGGACTCTGCCACCATGTTCGCCAGCGGCGCATCGTATGGCTCGTCTATGGTTGGTATCGTGTCCTGACCGCTAGACTCGTGATTAACATCTCATAGCCTGCACAACCCCCAGCGAGCCATGATCTCACCCACCTCAAGGCAGCGCTCAGCGGCTTCACCGACCTCGCCATTGACAAGAACATTGAGCGCACCACCGTCATATACGTCGTCGGCTCTACTCTGCCCAAGCGAGTCCGCAAGCTGGGCGTAAAAGACATTGGTTCATCCCTGAACAGCATCTTCCGCAGGGAGAAGATTTTCCACAACGACAAGGAGGCTTTGGATTCGCTTGAGGGCATACTAAGCAAAGCCATTGACTACCACATCACCGCCACGGACATCGCGATCACCGACGATCGGTACAAGGAGTTAACCGCTGCTATCAAGTTCGAGCTTGAACATATATCAGACAAGCAGGCTTTCTTCGCTCTGATCGGCCGTTTCGTCTCCAAGGTCAGTGATTGCTCGGGGGTGCCTGTGCCTGCACCTATCCTCGCTGCCAAGCGGAATGTGACTTCGAGCTCGGTCGCTGGGCACATGCCGACCACCACACTTCCGATGAAAACTGGCTCCAACTGGAATGACAGCCATGAGGGCAATGCAACCACTGCAGCTGAATCAGACGACATGGACTATGACTTCGATGGTGCTCCGGACGTACACACCAATCCTGCTCCAGGATCCGGAACCTCGCCTTTTCTTGGCGCTGTATTCACATTCCAGCCTGTTAATGCATCCCAGGAGTCGACTTCACCGGCACACACGAAGTTAGCGCCAAGGCAAGGGGATCACGGCTACCTCGACGGAATCTCTTACGAGCTCCGCCAAAAAGGGCTGGAGTTCTTCCATGACGAAGTGGACAGAATGCACTGCAAATTGAGCCCTTTTCAGGGCATGCTCCTCGATCAGAATGGGCTTTACGAGCTGATGCATAGTCTGGATGCCAAGGTCCTCCATGACATACACATGGAAGTATCATCTCGTTCTACTCCGCCGTCAGACACGTGGCTTGATGAGAAGTACAAAGACGGTGTACAAATGGAGCTCATAGCTTTGAGCGATACAAGCAACTTCCTAGCAAGAGTGAAAGAGGTCTTGTACTCCAGAGACGTCGAGATGGCCGACGTATCCGCTCACGATAGCTGGGCCGATCCGACGCTCAACCAGGAAGAGTTCGACGCTCTCAACCCTCTGAAAGCCCCGCCTTCGCTTCAAGGCTTATCAGTCGAAAAGCGTCGACACTTTCTCTGCCGTATGCTACGCAAAGCGAAGCGCATGAACGCCAAAGCACGGTCAGCGCAGAAAGAGCGCTTACAGCCTTCAGAAATGATGGACATGGTGCATCAAGACGAACTCGCAGCCCTTCACCGCATCGACTCCGCAATGCAGGGCTCAATCTTCAAGCGAGATGATGCGGCAATAGAAAGAGCGTACGATAGCCAGTCTGAGTCTGAGCTCCGTGATTGCGGCAAACTGAACTCTTTCGTAAACAAAGTGAAGGGCTACCATCGGCGTCTGAGGAACTTCATCTCGTCGGCGAAGGGCCATTTCGTCGACGCCTTCGGGTTGCGTGGCGATAGCGGTGCTGCTAGTACTGCTGATGCAGAGTATCACTCTCACCCTCCTTCACCAGTCCAAGACATCAAGGGCTCATTCATCTCCGCCCTTACAGATGCTGTCAACGCCATGAACTCCAGCCCGAGCGCCACACACAACCTTGACCAGCTCCTTCTCCAGCCAGCCGAGGTAGCCGATCTCGTGTCCAGACTGGAAGCTCGCATGCGGAGCGACCTTGAGCAAAAGTACATCGACACGCCTTTGACGTATCAGGAGCAAGAGACTCGATATGTTCAGGCTGCCAACCACTTTTTACAGTTGATACAGAATACCGACTGCTTTCGTGAGACGGTCATGGAGTATCGTCAGTTGAAATCTTGAGGGGATGTTTAGCAATGTTGCAATTACGGTGGAAAACCCGTCGATCTCGTATTACGCAACTACATCGCAAAAGCGGCAGCTCAGCACCTCGTCCCCTCCCTACACCATCACTATCCCGTCCCCTCACACCTTCAATCCCGACATACCCTTCTCAATATCCCTCTCCATCTTCCCCATCTCCACCACCATCTTCGCCCTTTCCGCAAAATTCTCCAACCCCTTCGGTGTCGCATTAGGCCCAACCTTTGCTACAGCCTTGAGGTACTCCATTTTCTGCTCCCTCATATCCTCATTATCCCAATTATTGCCCTGCATTCTAGCGTTGACCATATCCGCCGCCTCGTGCTCCATTTTCCTAGCCAGAGTGAGGAGTTGCGGTAGGGAAAGTTCAGTGAAGTCATCCCAAAAAGGAGCTACACCTGCATCCATACATGCAGCTAGTAGCTTTACTTCCATGCCACGAGCTAGCTTGGGGATCTTGACGTTGAGGTCCATGAGGGTTTGGAAGAAGTCGGTGATTGTCTCTGCGCGGGTTTGGTCCATGGTGAGCGGATTTGATGGGGTGTGGAGGCTCTGTAAGTTTGGGTGTGAAGGCAAAACCTTGTATTTGTTTTGCTTCCTTGGTGAAGAAGAGAAGGGGTGAATTGGTGGGGTGATTACTGGAATGGGGTTTCTTCGCCTTATGAACGGTGGTACCTTGTTGCTGTGGAATGACTACAGATGAATGCATTGTTCAGTCACTATGTTGCCGCTGCGCAGTGGTAGTCATCGGCGCGTTCCGCTCCACCATTGTGACAACGTGGTAATGTATCCGAATGAAAGCTATCAGCTCTGTGGTGTGCCAGTAAGGCAGAAAAGGTTAAGTAAAGGCCACTGATGAACCCGCAAATCAACCGTGGGTATATAATGTAATGTATCTTTCTTCCTAATTTTACAGTATTCTATTATTATTAACGCGTACCTCCTTATAGTTGCCTAGCGCTATAACTATTAGTATGTGCCTTATCCCGCGTAGAGGAGTCTTTATTAGTATTAGCTTGTTTATTATTTTAAGCGCTTGCTAGATAGTATTCTACATACTACATTAAACACTCTACTACTAACACTAGTAGACAACTGTGACTTTTCCTAAGTTCCCCTTTCGCAAACCGTATGACCTTACGCAGGTCTACGCCTCCAATACACACCAGAACGTACAAGACCCTCCGCCTATACAGCATTCACTTCATCTGCAACAGATGTCATGGCTGCGTCTCCACGGACCACGACAATGAGCAGCGCCACGGTCATTCACCAAGCGAAGGGAGTCATCACATGGTGGGCTCAGCGGCTCCCTAGGAGTATATAAACGCAGGCCAGCCGCCCGATGGAAGACCTTAATACCCACCGAGGAGCTCAAGTCTTGTAATCAGACTTCTGTAGCTTTCAACCTTCTTCTCAAAGTCTTTACCAGCGGAGCGCGCTCGGCACGATCTTTCACTCCGATCACACGATCACCTACTCGCACCACCAGAAGACATCAAAGAGCTTCACAATGTCTTCTTCACCCGACTGCTCAACTACGACTGCTTCTGTGCCTCTACGGAGGGTCGGCGACACGGTCTCCCATGAAACTGGAGGACTCGCTACCAAGGCTGATCTTGACGAGGTCAAAACGAGCATCGATCAGCTCAAGGCCGAGCAACAAGTGATGAAGTCCCTGCTCATCCAAATACTGCAAGCTGGAACTGCTGCGCCACGCGCTGTACCAGATCGCGCAGCTCCAACGGTCCCTACGTGTGGTCTCAAAGTCAGTGAAGATTCTGCAACAAACGTTCCATCTGAGACGCAGACCAACGAAGATCACTCCAATCGCTACAGCTTGTAAGACTTCTTGCTAATTAGATCTAGTTTGTCACACCTCAAAGAGATGTGGAAGATGTGCGTGCGGCGCCTGTAGCCTCCGTGTCCGAAGAGCAAGACGTACCGGTAAGTTCGTGATCCCAATCCTTTCGCTTCGTTCTAACAGGTCCAAGTCTTCCTACCAGTCTGCGTATGCTGCAACTTTCGCCGAGCCAGCAGCCCAGGCAACTAACGAAAACTCTCCTCCAAACGCATCTACACCGTCAGCAAGACCAGCGGAACCAAGCGCGCCTACGCTTAACGAAGAGACGGTCTCCGCCCAGGCCGCTGCTCAAGCTGAAGAAGACGCACTGTCGGATGAGGAGTTGAGGGCACTTCGGCCGCTTCGTCAACAATCAACACGTCTTCTCTGCATCAGTGAAGATTTTCGCTTTAAGACTCTGGTCGGCTTATACTACGCTCTCAAGTCGAGGAACCCAGCTCAATCGTCATCCCGGACCCGCCTCCCCGAGAGCCAGCTGATCAGCATGGCGCGCTATGCAGAATTCGACATTCTTCGAGCCATAGATCGAAGGCTCATAAGGAGGCAATTGGCCTCGGTCCCATCTCTTATACTCAATGAGTACTCAACTGGTCGGCAGATGATGTGGAGCAGCTTCATATATAGCAGCAACTTCTCCGCGCTGATCCATAGATATCAGCGGTCCGTGCGTGATATTCTGAGGCAGAGTAGACGAGTCACTCGGTCGCAGTCTCCTCAGCAGATAGGAGCTTTCGTCACCGTTCCTCGTGGCCGGGCTGGATACCGCTATCGATCCGCGTCGAGGTCTGCGAGCGCGGATTATGGCGGTCAGGCACCAGTGACTGGTTTGGATCAGGGCGTGAACCAGCCGGCGACAAGTAACAGCGACTTCTCCTTCCCGAGCGCTCCTACACGAGTTTCCTTCTCGATGACACCTGGTTCGCTCGTGGCGTATAGCGATATGCTTATGGAGGCTGATTTGGCCCTCCTCAAAGAGCCCACGTCGGCCAAGCCATACAATATCAAGCTCGCCAATGAACTTCGCGGCGGTACTCTCGTTGAGTTCTACGACAAGCTCGTGGAGGCCAACAGCTTGGTATCTCGCCTCAAGTACGACGAAGACCTTCAGCATGCGCTTATTGAAGTCTACCAAAGAACGGGCATAGCGCCGTTCTGGACCGATTACCTACCGCTTGATACTCAGGAGCTGATGAGGCTAACGAAGCAAATCGAAGACGATGCTTTTCGCCGCCTGCTAATGGACGTGCGAAGTGGGAAAGCCGAGGTTTCCCATGAAAATGCGTACATTCGATTGACGGCGAGGTACCGTCCGGGAACCGATGCCATAGGTCTTATGGAGTTTGCAAGCAAGGCTGCGAAGTTTCTCGACCGGATGGAGACGTAGGGTGCAGAGTCTCTTCGGATGCGCGGCACGCTACGGAGATAGCGCCAGTGCCGCAAACTTTAAGGCAGACCTGTTACCCAGGCGGAAGGGTAGGATGGCGCGAGGAGGAGAGGAATGGATCGAGTTGTACGTCGCTAGTCATAGCGAGAAGAAAAGTCATGCGACAAGCGAATGGTGGAGCCCTCGGGTTCGATGCAAGAGTGGAGTTTGGCGAGATCACGACGCGACAACGGGATTGGTGAGAATGAGGGTATGCATGTTCGAGATGGCAGGACTTTAAGCGCATGGTGCGCAGAAGGACTGGAAACGATTTGTAGGAAAACATGTCCAGACGATTGATGAGGCTATGCAGAACAACTGAAGTAGAGAAGCCGTATGACCGTCTGCTAAGCGCAGGCGTTCGCACATACCGCTATGTGGAGACATGACTTCCAGCACTGCGATGAGATTCGATACAGTCTAGCCTCACGAATATGCGTTCCAATAGTGCAATGTGTGAGGCGCGTCAATAAAAAGAACCAGGAAGTCGCGTCGGACCAACGCGCACCTCAGCAGTCGCGCTATGACGTATGCCAACCCAAGCGACCATCCTCAACATCTTCCTTCTTCAACCGCACGATAACATTGGCATTGGTTTTGTTGCCTGTTGATCCAATCTCTATCATCAAAAAGCGTTCGAGTAACATTACCCCACAACATGACGCCAACTAAAAAACGCCTCGAAAAAGAGTACCACGGCCTGCGCAAAACCCCCGCGGACGGCTACCACGTCGAACTAAGACACGGCGACATCTTCGAATGGACAGGCACCCTCCACGGTCTCGATAACTCCCCCTACGAAGGCGGCACCTTCGCCTTCCACATCCAATTCACCGACGAATACCCAGAGGCACCACCTAAAGTCAACTTCACGACCAAGATCTACCATCCCAACGTTGATGGTAGGACCGGTGTTGTGAGTTGGAAGATCTTGGGAGAAGATTGGCATCACAATAATACGATGGAGAAGGTGCTGATGAGTTTAAGGACGCTGTTGGATCATCCGGAGTTGGAGAGCGCGGTCGAGGTGAAGATTGCGAATGAGTATGCGAATGAGAGGGGGAAGTTTGAGAAGCATGCGAAGGAGTGGACGGGGAGGTGTGCGAAGGAAGGGGCTGCGTCGACTGGCTTTACGTAGAGGAAGAGGGCGTGACCTTTTGTAGGTGAATGATGGGACGGAGGAGCTTATTTAGACACGCCTTTCTCGCGGAGAAGCGCATCTTCATGCGATTATTCTTATCAGTCGCGACATATCCGCAAGAACTCCGGAGGATGTCCATTTCGGTACTCATGCTGGTAGTGTATAATCCCTCTGATAGTATTATATACCCACAGAAAATATCTGAAGCTTACGCGATGAAAACTCCAAAACCGCTCCTGGGAGTCGTCTGATCAAAGATGTGAGAATCTTGTATTCATATACACGTTCCTCTGCGCCACATTCTTCCACTGATTCTGTAAACACAATTCTCCGTCAACTACCCCAATCTCACGCTGGATCTATGTCTTGTCGGCACCAGTCTACGGAAGGCTTCGCTCGGCCCAGACTTGGGTAACTACAGTTCTCAGCACTTGCGAGACGTGCTTTCTGCTGCTTACAGGGGATCGTGTATGTATGATCGAGGCAACGTCATTAGATTAGTAGATTGGGAAAAAGACATGGAGGCAACGCCCGAAGACACGATATAGCCTGTCGTACGACCAGTTTCATATTCGCTTTCCAATGGCCGCAGCATCGCCAACCCTATAGCCAAATTTCAGCGAGTCCTGCTCTTCAATCTGGGCTTTCTTCTCGAGTAACTCGTCAACATCCCACGTCGCACCCAGTAACCGGCCATTCAACCACATCCGCTTCTCACTGCTTAACCACACGCAAAACGCGCCACCAAGACCAACATCATCTGTGAGATCTACAAAGTCAGCAAAAGAATACCACAATCATGCAGCGATGCACTCACAAGAACGGAAGCTGTCAGGCGTAGTCTTATCCGCCATCTCAGTATTCACAGCCCCAGGATGCACAGCAACCGCTAGTATACCATCCGCACCATACTGTTCCGACAAGAATTCGACAAGACGTGCCTGCGCAAATTTCGAGATGCAATACGCTGTATTCGCAATGTGGCCGTTGGTGATGCATGCTGCAAAGGAATTGATGGCGATAAACGTCTTCGCGCCATCACTCTCCTTTAGCAGCGGAACAAAATGATGCGCAACAAGATATGTGCCTTGTACATTTACGTCGAATACATCTTGGAAATCTTGCGGATTGCCTTGGTCGACTTTCAACACTACCGGTCCTGAGTACCCCGAATTGACGATCACAACGTCCAGCCTTTCCACTTCTTCTTTCACGTTCCTCGCAAGTCGCGCAACGCTTTCGTTGGATATTATATCGACTTCCAGGCTCTTGATGGTTGTCGAAGAGTTAAGGATTTGAGCTTGTTTGGTGACTGCTGCTAGCTCTTGTGCTGAAGATGGCCTTGCTGTTAAGATGAGAGATGCGGCACCCGCTTGTGCATATGCGTATGCGATTCCGGCTCCGATGCCGCGAGATGCGCCGATTATGAGGACGTTGAGCGGCTTTGGCAACTTGTTCGAGGCTGGGTCTAGGGCGGCGGTCGGTTTCTTATGTATAGTCTTTGTGAAGCCGCTGGCGAGCGTGGTATCCCTTGTCCGTTGCGACATGGTGTGATGCTGAGCGGGTCAAGGAAAGGACATTGTGGGAAGCAGTGCAACTCGTCCCCGATATAAAGGTACGCCTTATCTGGCCTAAAGAGGCTTGGTCGAAATGAGTCATTCTGAGCAGACACGATACATTCCAGCCTTTGCCTATCTTCAATGTTTCTCGCGTTCACATTATGCATCAAGATGGCGATGAAGTAGCGAACTGGGAATCCGCGTGACATGAGATGAGATCTTGGTACGGTCGTAGATCTGGCAGCGACCCCGCCGACATCGCATCTTACTCAGCACAAGAAGCTTCCCAAAGCTTGACAATACCTAAGTAACGCGCACTCTCACCCTAACAACACGATGCTGTTAGTAATTTAGCCTCCAGAATCACTAACAACGTTAGTAGACTACACAAAGTCTTTAAGAATATTTTAATGCACCTTATTAATTTTGCTAGAAGCTAGTTTAGTAGTTACTACTTTACTACTTCTAGCTACGCTACTTAACTTATATTATATAATTTATTTTTAATAATAATTTACTAATTCTATTTAATACTATATAGCTTATATAAAGCTAATAAGATTTTTATTTACTATAATAAAAAAGTAGTAAAATACTTATATTTTTATAAAAATAAAAATACTAATAATATATAGATTTTATTATATAGTATTATAATTACTATAATTTTAGTATTTTTTTTTATTTTTTAACTTAGCTTTTAAACTTTAGCTATTAGTATTTATTATATAATAACTAAAGTATTCTTTATATACTATAAATACTTTTTTAGTACTAAATTTTATAGTTATATTACTAAAGTTTTTTCTTTATTAAAGTTTTTATAGTAGTATTTATAACTATTATTATTTTAAGTTTAGTATTATTAGCTTTTAGTCTTAAGAGTACTAGCTTAAGTATAATTATATTAAAGTTAATACTTAATAAAGTTATTAAAGCTAGTATTTTAAAAGTTATAGCTATTATAGTATTATATAAAAAAAAAAAAATATTACTAGTACGCTACTTTATATACTATTATACTTAAAAATCTTTAACTTATTATATTTACTTAAAACTAAAAAATACTATTTTTAAAGTTACTAGTATTTTTTTTAACTAATAGTATCTTTTTAAATTATTAAAAGCCTTTATATATACTTATAGTACTATAGTAATATACTAAATACTTTAGTAAATAATATTAAAGCTATTATAATTATACTATATACTAAAGTATAATTTTAAAGACTAAGCTTACTTTAGAACTAGACTATAGTCTAAGTTAAAGGCGTACTCTATTCTTTCTAACAACGTTAGTGACGCCTTCGAAAGCGTAGATGGGCATATGACGCGAGGCGCTAATGTACCTAGCGCGATGGGCATGTGGGCCCAGCCCTTGACGCGTCTGGAACCACGATGGATACTCCTCTTTCGAGCAGACTTGACCGCCAACACTCCATCCCACCACTCTGCAAGCTCCGGTAACATCATGTACCAGTATGTGCTGCAGCAGCCAGCTTCAATTTATAAGCCCAAGTACGCCCTGTGGACGACCTCGGGACGAAAGCCATCCGTAAGCATAATTCGGATGCAGCTAGGCAATAGTAAGATACGCGAGCGAGACCTTTGACGACATTATGATTTGAAATGTAGTTCTTAGGAGCTTCGGGGTATAAATTATGAGGCGCCAGCCCCATCGGCAGAATCACTTCCCGCATACCACATCGACGGCATCACACCCTGAGTACTTCAACATGACACGTACCCTCATCATCTTCGGCGCGGGGCCAGGAATCGGTAATCACGTGGCTTCTGAATTCGCGTCTAAAGGCATTGAGCATGTCATCCTTCTGTCGCGCAACACAGAACGTCTCGAGAAGGAAGATGCGCCTTTTGTCAGCAAAAGCAACTCCTCCGTCAGAGTCGACACCCTGCGCATCGATCTTGCGGATACAAAGGCTATCCCGGATGTACTAAAGCAGCTAGACAGCATGACCGAAGGCGAGGACGTAGAAGTCGTCTTCTTCAACGCTGCTCGCGTAAAGCCAAGCGATGTCCTGGGTGTCAGCGTGGAGGAGATTGAGGAAGACTTTAAGGTAACAACTCCCTCTTCGACAACATTATATGGGAATAGACGCTAACAGCGATATGCAGACCACGAACCTCGCCCTCTACGTCATAGCACAGCACTACATACCCAGACTCCAGAGCCTGGCCAAGTCAAACTCGTCGCTTAAGCCCGCTCTTCTCGTTACAAACAGCCATCTGCCGTGGGATCCTGTGCCGCAACTCCTTTCGCTGAGTCTGGTGAGGGCTTCGCAGAAGAATATGGTGGAGAGCTTCAGTCGTGCGTTCAGTGATAGCGGTGTGCACATCGGGCTTATCTATGTCGAGGGAGTTGTAGCACCGGAGAATAAGGTGTTGAATCCGAAGACGATTGCGGAGAGGACTGTGGCATTTTGGGAGGGTGGGGTGGGGGTTGGCGTTCACATCGAGGAAGTGTAATAGTAGCATGAAAAGCTAGCTTGATTGAAGAAATACTGCCATGGATACTCAAGCGGCTCGAAATATCTTCTCCACTCCATCACTCCATCACCATCGCATCCTCATCACGCTTCCTTTCCTCCGCCCACCCCTCCAACTCTTCCGGAAACATCCGCACCAACACCGCAGTCTCTTCCGTGAACCTGTTCTTCCGTCAGTCTCTTCGTACTCCATCTACTCAAACCACCAAGTTTCTCAACTAACCTCCGTCTATTCCCAGGCTCCTTAGGAAAAAGCGCACAATCATGCAAAAAACTCCTCCTACACACATCAGCACCAAAGCCTCCAGCATACTTGAACCGTCAAGCAAGAAAGGGGGGGGAAAGGGACGCACAAATGGTACAACATAATCCTCGCCTCAAAGTCGTCTTCCGGGTAGGTAGCAGGTACATGCCGTAGATACTCGTCCCGCTGTTCCTTGTTGAGAGTCCTGAGATCATCTGCGATTTGAAGATCAGCTTCTTCCCCTAATGTACCGCCCTAGAACGAACATCATACATTCCGCATGCCCCCAAAAACAGCCCGGATCAAACACCACCACCTCCCCTTCCTCCCCCACGCCTACATTCCCCTCCCACACATCTCCATGACACAGTGACGGACTAATCTTCCTTCCGCCCATCTCCATAGGACGTAAAAGCCTAGGCATGACCTTGTCGAATAAAGCGTCGAGTAGGTATTCTGCTTCTTTCGAGCGCTTGCCGCCTTCTTTCTCGTCGTAATCCAGCATCCTTCTCATGTTGCGCGTGAAGTATTCTTCCCAGGTAGTCGTCCACGTATTATCCTGTGCGAGTTTGCCGTTGTGCGTCGTGGTGTGGTACCCGAAGAACCTTCCTTGCGGCCGACCGCAGTAATTGAGAACGTCGCATTTTTCCGCGCTTTTGGCGTGGAAGAGGGCGAGTTGATGGGCTAGGAGTTGCATGTCGGAAGGGGTTGGCGGGCGCATAGTTGCGAACTCTGAGACATAGTAATAGTGCGCCTTGTCTTCTCTCGTGTTCTGATCCCCATATTTGTACTCGTCGTCGAGAGCTTCTTCTTGTGCTTTTGAGAAAGGGCCCTGGGCAACCCATCTAGTACAGAATCGCGGTGACACATTTTGCATATCAGCGGCGGATCGAAACTCTCCCTCCAACATACTCTTCCCATTCCCGCCCTGCGCTATCTTGACAAGGTAACTCTTTCCTGGTCTTTCTGTGTCTTGTTCATCTTCAAGTCTTTTCTCATTCTTCTCATTTGGATTTCCACTACTCTCATGCTGAGACGGAGCATTGTCATCCCGGGTGCCATTGCCGCGTATGTATCCTAGTCCTGTTAATCCCCTTACGGTGCGAGGAACGGTACTTGGTCGAAGGGGTGTAAAAACGGTGTCGACGCGGAAACAAGTTGTCCAGTGACTAGTTCCGTGAGGAGTAATTTTCGTAATTATCGTGTTTGGGCCAAGGGCAAGAACTGAGTCGCCGGGTTAGACTGAAGTGACTGTGTTAAAAGTGCTGGTTGGAAATGTCTTAAGGTTCGCGAGCTAGGTAATGACTGTGTAATGACTGTGTAACGACTGTGGTGACGAAAACGACTAACGTACGACCGCGGAGTGTCGTGGACTTAGCTAGGAGGGTTTCTAGCTTACATCGCTTGGATGCAGTTATCCCAAGGGATGTGGTCATCTTGGCGGGAGGGGAAAATAGCACAGCGACACTGGTCGGTCACTAGTAAAAAAAGCACACCTAGGTATCTTCGTGGAGGAAAGAAAGCACCGAGGCGACTGCTGTCAGGCATAGCAGTTGATGCACGCCGTTTCGTTGACTCACATGCTGTTCGCAACAGACCTTGCTGTTCGCCATGCGAACAAAGCAGAGAGAGGCCGTGTCACGAGGAGGCACAGTAAACCCCCGCCCTTTTCCAAGTCAGCAAACGGCATCCTTACTCCCATGCCATGGGACCAAGGAACCAAGTTCGGTACAAACCTAATGTTCACCTTTCCCCGCTGCATAATCCACCAGCACAGCCAAGTCCCAAGGCCCAAGTACGCACATGACCAGTATCCGCGGACATGACGACCAGAATCCATGCCATGTCTATCTTGCAACAACACCTGGATACTACCAATCCACTCTCCTTTCCATCATCGTGAGAACACGTTTCACTGACCCTCCTCCGAGGAAGAAACATGATCCCAAACGCGCATCCAAAACTTCCACCCAGAATAGTAATATCGGAAACAAATGGGTTCAGCACAGAACTCTCCCGGAAGGTCGAAGCGGAAAGAGGGGGGCGCGGGAAGAAGCAAATGGATGCTAGGTGGATATGAATAGCCGAGTCATGGTATGCAGAACGGGAAGAAGCAAATATGCCCCAAGTGGGTTGTCGGGGGCCAAGCGTAAAACACCGAAAGAAGCATGGAAAGGTGCCCAGGTGTGAGGAAAAAGAAAGCAAGTATGGTAGTCATGGTAATCATGGTGAACATGCGAAAACACTCTGGTACAGTGTGTCGTACAGGTAACGAGCTCAAGTTTAATGATCTTCGTAGCAGATGAGGAAATCAGATTGACATTGTACTGTGTTGTTACATCTCCCACATAATAACGTGCGTACTAGATAGCGCATCCGCTGAAAGTTGTTACATGTGAAAGCAAGAAAAGAAGAAGAACAAGTAGTAAACAGTTGCATTCAATCAGCCAGAATCGAAGAATCGAAGAAGAGAAACGCCTATTGCACAGAATCGGCCTCTCCTCAGCCTTGTCCTTTCGCAAAGAAACCTTGAAAATCGGGAATGAAGGATGGGAAAATGCTCGCATCAATACACACACACTTCAGTCAAGACCGTAGAAAGTATTAATGTTTGCACATGCTTTGATCCCCAATCCGCGCCCCACTGATTCCCGCCACCCAAGTTTCCCTTGCTACGCCGTTGCTTACTCCGTAAACGTGTATATTGGTTCTGTCCCTTAGGTATCCAGCCGTTTCTTTCTGTCTCGCTCGCTCTCTTTCTAAAAAAGTAGTAGATTCATCAATGCTGGGAAGAAGCGTTGTTATTGTGATGGTGATGGTTGTGGTAGAAGGGCAAATGATTACGCCTCGATTCCTATATCTCGACGGTCTTGAGGTCTTCCGCCTCGGTGGCAGTGACGGGGCTCTTCAGCGACGAGCGCGCAGGAGCGGCTGCGGCGGGGGCAGCTGGTTTCGTGTCCTTGTTCTCCTTGTCATCTTTGTTCTCCTTGTCGCTGCTGAGGCTATCACGCGGTGTGGGCAGGCGGGCGGCAGGGAACTCGTCGCTTGGTCGCGGGGTGTCCATGGAGATGAGGTTCTCCTGGGGAGTCGCGGTCTTGGAGTCGAGGTTGGTGTGCACGCGGATGGGTGCTGGGTTCTCTTCTGCGACCCGGGCTAGCGGGCTGGAGAGCTTGCCTCGTGGGCTGACGCCCTTGGGCGGTTTGGATAGGCGGTGGGGGCTTCGGCCGCGGTCTTCGGGGCCCATTACAGGGCTGTGGTAGGGGCTGCTCGCAGTGCTACTGGGGACGACCATACCCGGCGCATTGGGGTTGACGCGCAGACCGCTGTTCGGGCGTCTCTTGGGTGGCCGGCGGCCGTGCTTCTGGTCACACCGCCAGCGGAGGACTTCTAGGTAGGGCGGCTCTACGTTCTGGCGCTTGAAAGCTAGCAGCTTCAGTTCGCCCGTCTCCTCGTCCATGGATACGTCTTTCGAGGCAAAGTCATCTGCGACCATGGCCAATAGAGCGCCCCATGAGCGCGCGACAACGTATTTGGTGTCGTAGTCGCGGCCGAAAATGATGATCTGGCCCCATTGGCCGTTGGGACCAGGGGCAAGATCAACAGCGAGGTAGTTGCCTCCCCAGTCGCGAGCGAGAGGGATCCATGCGGGGTGGGCGTATGCCTTTTGTACGGCGCCCTGGGGCTGTGAGTCCTGGCGCGCGAGGAGGTCCTGTCGCCAGAGCGGGTTGCCTGTGCTCTGGACTGTGGCAACGGGGGGAGCGGTCGAGGAGCCAGCAAAGGCCTTTACTGGGATCTGCGGTGTGCGGTAGTCGACCTTTGTGGTGAGGTACTCCTCGGCGACCTTCCGCCAGTTCTTCCACTCCATGACAATCTCCTCGCAGTCGAGCAGCATGAGACCGAAGAGGACACCAGTCGGCAGTCCGCCACGCTCCTGGCCATCGTGGACCTGCAGCGACTCGCGGATGTCCATGGGCAGGGTCGCGTCAAGCTCGTGCTCCAGCTCGTTGACGTCGTTGGATGTGCAGCCCTCGCACATGTTGTCGAAGAGCTCTTGGTAGTGGTCCTCGACCCAGCGGTCGATGCGCCGCCACGAGTGGCTGACGGGCGGCGGCGGGGGCAGGCCCTCGTTGAAGTCCTGCATGGGGATCTGGCCGTTGGCGCCCTGGGGGAACGAGTCCGAGTCCATGGTGGCCTGGCGGCTGAGGGAGCCGCGCATGCCGGGCGAGTAGGGGGAGCTGGGGGACATGGGGCCCTTGGGGGAGCCGATGAAGCCATTGCTCGTCGCGAGCTCGTCGTGCTGGTAGGGCGAGTGCAGGTCGGTGCGGGACTCGGCGCCGCTGGCCGTGATGGAGGTGAGGGCGGCGTGGCGGCTCTGGGGGATGGGGATGTGCCGGCCGGTGCGGTAGGGCGAGTCGTGCGAGGCGTGGCGGTCGTACGACGTCATCGTGTGCCAGAAGTCCTTCAAGGACGCCGTGATTCTGCGCTGCTGTTAGCCATGTCCAGGTGCTGCCAGGTGCTGCGCGGGGGAGCGGCGCCAGCAAGTCCGGGGGCTCGTACTGTTGTGCCATGGCGGTGGTGGTGGGCGAGGGAGCGCGGAACAGCGAAAAGAGCGTGAGGGTGCGCTCTGCGCTGGCGGGCTGTGAGTGTTCCGGGGCTCAGCGAGTGTCGGGCGGCTTGGAGCGCTGGGGGATTGAAGTAACTTGAGCTGCGTCGGCGTGGCAGGAGCTTGAATTGGAATCGAGAAAACGGATTGCAGGTGACGTTAAGGGGTGCCGACACGCCAAGACAAAGCTCGACCGGGATGGCCCTGGACCGATTGACGAGCGTTGAATGCGCACTGCTGGCCCACTGCAGGACTGCTTCAGGACAGGAGCACGCCAAACCGTAGGGTGAATGATTACAAGTCTACAACAGTAGTGTCGTGGTGCGGTCGTGAGGACGCTGGTTGTGTTGTTGTTATGGTTCGTCGCCTGCATAACAAAGCCCTGCAACCACTCAACGCCGCCGCTCCCTCCTCTCCTCACTCCACTCCCCTCCCCGTAGCCAACTTGAATTACCCCCGGCTTTGCGGTCATTAAGTTATTAATAGCGCTTAACACCCCTAGGTATCGCCGTTGCCACCCAGTATCACCACCACCAGACATCACTTCCTTTTACACAACCAACAGCTTGCCGTGGCCAATTCACTCCCTCCCCTAACCCCCATGCGGCCCATTTTGGCCGCCTCACGTCGGCGCCGTTCGTCCAACCGTGGGCCTGTTTCAGACTTGGGCGGCGTCGTGCGCGCCAACTAGAGGCTTTGCCGGGTGGCTTCGCTTGCTTAGCTTGTTATCGCTCCCTTCCCCGTTAGGAGGTGCAGCTGCATCTCTGGCGTCGTGCCAGGCGGTGTAAAACGAAACAGAGCCACTTTTATGCTCTCGCCGTGTCTTGGGAAAAACAATCCCACCTCCGACACTATGCTCAGACACTATGCTCAAACGCGCCAGCTCGGTCAAACGCTTCGGCCACGTACAACAAGCAATTTCTGGCAAGTTCCAAAGCTGTAGATAAGGCTGACCGGCGTGGCTTGGTGCGCGCCTTGCTATTCCGTCTTCACTCACCAGCTACCGCATCCTTCGACGCAGATAATGCGCTCCCCCCGCTAAGATCTTCAATTTCCGCCATAATCTCCCAAAGGGTCCAGCTAATGTCGGTCCATGATGCGGTCAGCAGAGTTCATGACGTAGACCGATAGTCGGCAAGCACGTATTGCACATGTAAGATTGACGGCCATGCACTGTGTCGAGCGAATGCGAGTGATCAAGTGTAGCCTTGGATTGCGTTTCAGATTAACATGCCGGCGAATTCCGCTACACTGTGATATGTAGCCCTGATTGCGTCGCAGCCTTAGCATCCGTCATGTACTACCAGAGCCCGTCCTTGAACTTTGTACCCCGCCAAGTACCTCCTCCTCCACTAGTAAAGCTTCGTATGACACCCCTTCGAATCACATTCTTGCCGCGCAACCGGGAACATGCGTTTGTGCGAAATTCGCCGTGAGCAGCAGCGGGGTGCGGGGGTCCTGTGAGGCTGTTTGCTCATACTCCTATTTTTAGGCCCCGCCCTCTCTCGCCACATCGCATGGTAACCGATGTGGCTATTGTGGATACACTGTTCTTCATCCATGACAACCTCTGACCTCGCCGCTCGTCCTGCGACGTTCAGTTTGGCTTCGGGGATTTGCCGCACTAGTTGGCCTGATCTACCCCAGAGTCGTATTGCCCGCCGCGTGGGTCGGATACGAGCTGATGCGCGTTGGGTAAGCGGCCTTCGTCCCGACCCGGCATGTAGTTGGGAGGCGCGGCTCCGTCTGCTTGCGCGCTTTCGTATCGCTGTGCTCAATTCTTGAATTGCTTTGTGCTGGTAATTGGGCGAGTGCCAGCATCTTAGACGCATGCTCAAACGCTATCGCCGCTCTAATCCCATACTGAAAATGCGTTGCGCTAGAGCTTTTTACCCAGGAATTGATCGAGCTCTTCTTGCAAAGGTATCACGATGTTTTCAACTGCAGCTTGGAGGCAGTCGGCGTTCTGCAGACTGGCGTTAGGGTTGACATACTCTTTCATGCAATGAGTGATGGCACCCTGGTACGCAGCAGACAGATCCTCCGCCTCGTTCTGCATCCAAGAATGTACCAATAAAAGACGTCTCATACTCTGGTGATTTGGTGCATCTGTAGTATCACTCCCAAGTTCGAGCTCTTCATATTTCTCCGCAGTAGTTCCGCAGTGAAGCTCAAGCAATGCTACAGCCAGCGCGAGCAGGAAGCTGTTCTGGAAATCCATTTTCTTGGGACCTTTCAATCCGTTGTTTGGACCATCGATTACGGTCGGAGACAGATATGGGCGGCTGAGATCGACTGGGCGCGTAGCATCTGTTGTTCGGTGGAAAAGGACATCTCGCGCTGTCCAGTCATGATGAAGCCATGGGGTGGAGTTGAGATACAATGCGCTAGACGCCAAGGTTAAGGCTAGACTGAATCTGTCTTTCCTGCTAAATTTGGAGCGTCTTCCATTGACGAGTGGGGGTCGCTCAAGTAGAGTCTCGAGAGATACCAGTTCTGCACTGGGAATGTGTGCTTCTCTAGTGTCGAGGGTATACGCACCTCGCAATTTCTGTTTGCTGTCCAGCGAGAATCCGATCGTTGAAGAACTCTTGTGCACCTGCTGGATAGATGCGCAGAGGTCCTTGACTTCTTCGTAAGTCGGCAGTATATTATTCGCAGGGTCTGCTTCTGTGTACGGAGGAAGCGACTGAAAGCTTGCGTTTCTTCCCATCTTGTTTGGTTTGGGGGAGCCCATTGGTTTCAGGTAGGCGTCTTCCTCATCATCGACACAGATCTCGGCCGCTTGGAACGACCAGGGGACACCATTTTCATCCGACGAGACAGTTGAGAACGTAACATTGAAGCTCGTTTTAGAAGAATTCTTAGAAGACGGGAACATCTTTTGATGCGTCGGCGCAAAAACGTTATCGCGAGCTTCAAGTTGAAGACGCGCCATGTGCGAAGACTTGCAAGAGCATGACCAGCACACGGCGAGCGACTCGTGCAGAGCCTTGGCGTACCGTTGCAACTTGTGTAAGCGCGTGGCATAGACAGGCTTCATCGGTTTATGACACGTCTCAATCATTTTGCTCTTTTCTGTGAATCGCTCGAGTTGTCGATTGCACTCGTCCAGATCGTCTAGTAGTATCTTGACTTTGTTTTTGTTCCACACGAATTTGACGCGTTTCCTGAACTCAAACCTGTCGTTAGTCGTTTTTGGATTTGCGGCAATTAACGCTTCAAGGTCATTTCGGTTGAGCTGCCAGCCAAGTTAACAAGATGAAAATGACAATGTACGCAGCTTGCTGACCTCGGTTGCACGATCTAGATTCAATCTGATCGCGATCTTTTTTGTTATACTCTCCACTTCTTCCATGATGGTTTGATATGAGGTATAAGCATCCTGGAGCCGGTCTCGGAGCGCCATCTCCTTGCTCTTCCACAGCTCCTTAGACAGCTGTGGATCAGCCATCATCGTCGCAAGCTCGGTGTCTGACGAGATGGACCCAAAGAGGATTTGGATCGTTTGATTGAAGTGATCATACTGGGCTCTGAGCTTCCTGACAAACGCGAGAAGCTCATGGTCTCTGCCCATGAAACTCTTAAAGGCGCTGGCACCTTCCTGGTAGCTTTCAATCCCTAGCCCACAGTAAGCAGATGACGGCTAGTATCTTTTCGTTAAACCGCATCGCACCTTGTATGATGAGCGGTAAACAGCCAAGTACGAGGCCAGCTATCTCTATTCCGCTCATTGTAGCGACTGCCAGTGGATTGTGGATGGACGTGGATGGTGCGTGTCATTGACGCGCGACGGAAGGACCGAGCGGGGTTCGCGGCTGGATCTCGAGGCAGGCAGCACCTGCAGGACCACGGCTGAACACAGCGACAAATTACGACACAGTCATTTCCTTGCGCAAGCCGTAAGAGTCGGAAGAACCTCCGGATTTTCAAGCGATACGAGGTAGGACGAAAGTGTGACTGCCCGCAAGGCGCCCAAACTGCGCCCCGCCAATCTGGAAAGAACCTAGCCTCTTCCCACACTCATCAGGCAGCACAGTGGTGGCACAGTTGCTGACTAAACGACTACACCCTCATTGAGATTGACGACAGCTTTATACACCGCGGCCTGTTGAACCTCACTAGTCTTAACGGCTTGACTCCGCGCATCAACGACGCGTCAGTCTGACCGCATTTACTTCGATGCTTGACTCCGGGTAGGGCGAACACGATCCGGCCCGCTTGCGCCGTGGGGCAGCCTGCGTAGTCATGTCGACTCTCAGGCTCGCGACAGCTTCTAATGTGCGCGCCTTCCGAATCCTTACCGACGCTCTCGCGACGAGCCAAGGCAAGTGGGCGCAATGGATAGATGACGACGCACTCAATGACGAGATTGGAAGATTTCGAGTATGGGCTGGTAACCTAGGTGCGTTGCAAAAAGGCCACAGCTCGCTCGACTACAGATTGCGCGACTCCCCGAATCTGTCTAGCAGTGCGCTCAAACTTCTGAACGAGCTCGAACACAACCTCATCGAAACCCATGCCGTCGTGTCAGAAGTGCGTCTACCATATGAAGCGCAACCACCGCCTAACGAAGCTGAGGACGAGGAAAGCGATGATGACTTCTTTGTCGAAGAGGAGGACGAGGACGAAAGTGACAGTGATGAGGAGAGGATTGAACTGAAGATGCGTCTCGAAGAGATAATCGACATAATCGACAATCTCTACAAACTTAGCGTTCGCATCAGAACGCCTAGCGTACGCTTGAGGTCGCTCAAAGCCTCCTCGTATACCATGAAAGATCTCGAGACCGGCGTTGACGTCCTCGAGGAATATGCCCACCAGGACAAAAGGCACGTTTGCGAGCTACTCTCGGAGCTGCGAGATTCGCATCCTGATGAAGTACAAGACTTTTTGGCTGAGCGGCTAAGTTCAGCTATCACTTTGCGCAGGCGGCATTTCAAGTATTGGAAGCGGCGTAAGTCTCGGATGCTACAACAGTGCAATTATTCGATCTGACCATTGTAGATCGTGATAAATTGGGTGCTACTGCAGTTCCTGATGAGACACCAAAACCTGACATGTTCGCTTCGCATCAGACATCAGACCCAGTCCCTGATGACACCCCCGGAGCTCATCCGGTACGTGCGTTCCTTGTGCTTTTTTCATTACTCTCGTAATCACAATCATAATGCTGCAATACTTTGAGTTGCAAGACTCGCTACGATAATTGCATCGCCGCTACTGAGCCACCGATTCCTCTCTCTTCTAACATCAGTACTAGATTGTTACCCTGCCCGCCATTATGCAACCGACGCCCAGCCAAAAGACTGGCAGGACTTTACTATCGGGCACGGAAGCGACACAGCACTATCAGTCACTAGATGACATTGTAGACAGCAAATCTGTCACAAGTTTCGCTCCAACAGTGAAAGACATGGACGGCAAGGGAATCGAATTACCTCCACCTCCGAAAGCTGCTAGTGGCGACAAGGACTTTGAGTGCCCGTACTGTTGGGTAGTCTGTCCTGCAAGATATGGTAAGGGACGAGCGTGGAAGACACATTTGTTACATGATCTTCAGCCATACATCTGCACATATCAAGAGTGTGAGAGTCCAGGACAGCTCTTCCGTAGCCGTCGAGAATGGGCGGAACACGAAGCGACTCATCGTGCATTGTGGCGGTGCCCGGAGCATCCAACGGCAATTTACAACTCTAGATCCGGTCTCGAAGCCCATCTCCTGCAAACGCACGTCGGAACCCTTCCGGAGAACCAGGTAGCGATCGTCGCTGGTATTGGAGAGACAACAGGAATTGACACACGCACAAAGTGTCCGATATGCCATGTTCCCAAAGATACCAAAGGTGTAGGTGACCTACAAAACCACCTTGCGAATCATTTGGAGCGCTTCGCTACCTTCGCTCTACCGCATGGCAGAGCAGACGACGAAGACGGTGCGAGTGGTACTGCGAGTCGTGGTAGCTTCAACACCCAGGCTTTATCCGAGTCGATACATTCCGATGAAAGCAATGAGTCGCTTGCGCTCCATAGAGACCTGGAGTCTCAGCAGTCATTCGAGCCAGATTATGTAGCCGATTCCAGTCGAAGTTTGTTGTCCGCAGAGATGCTGCAGCAGCTTCCCGATGAGAGTAACAACCGAATAGCGATGATCTCAAATCAGGTGGAAGACCCAGACGATTCGGAAGACGAGCCACCCGATGATGGACAGCTGGACGAGAATATACTGCCTGAGCACCAAAAACATCTCGAAGAACGGGAGGCGTTCAGACAACACGTCTCATCGTTGCCAGGAGTTCTGTCGGTTCGGTTTTATCGAGGTTACGGCTCATGGACTGGCCTGATCACGTTTGCGGATGATCTGGTCGGTGAAGCAGCAACAACACTCTTTGATACTGAGCGCTTTCCCGATGTTCAATTCCAGAGTAAAAAGAACAAAAGCAAGTGGAAGTTTACCAGAGTCACTGGTACGGACAGTAAGTTGATGTCTAGCTGAGAGCCACGAAAGCTTGCTGTAGGATCGTCATACTGACCACATCTTCACTTTAGGAAAAAACTCGTTCAACCGCCAGCCAACGGCGGACACACAGGCCACCGAAGAAGCCGATTTACTTCCGTCCGGATCTGAAACCTACGATGAAGAAGATGAAGCATCGAACAAACAAGCGATTATTACGACGGCCGAAATACCTACGCTACGCTCGCTTTACCAGTCCCGGCGACTGTTGCAGCGCGATCAGAGCTTTGCGCCAAACGATACCTACAATCAAATGATTTCGTTTTGTCATTATGATCTGACCAGGTTGCAAGTGGATGCTATCGTCAACAATGCTTCAGCCAATTTCCAGGCCGATCCAGATCCAGATTCTCTGCACCACGCTATCTACAAAGCCGGTGGCTCAGGTCTCAGGGAAGAGGCGAAATCAAAACCCAAGGTCAAAGTCGGCCAAGTCGAACTTACACACGGACACAAGCTTCCGAGCTCATGGGTGATTCATGCAGCTGCGCCAGGATATACAGGTCGCAAAGGCGTTGGCCAATTCAATGTTCTTTCCGAGTGCTATCGGAGTGCTATGAAAATGGCGGCCAACCACGAGTTCAAAACGATCGCCTTTCCTTGTCTGGGTACTGGAGGTTGCATGTTTCCTGCACGTGTTGCTGCACGTATAGCGCTGCAAGAGATGAGAGAGTACCTGGATTCACATCCTAGACATCGACCTGAGCGGATCATCTTCTGTGTGCGAGCAGCAATCGATGAGAAGGCGTATACCGACTTCTTACCGGTATTCTTTCCACCCACGCATGGAGACTTGGACAGAGCCAGAACTTCTGACTGGTCCGCAAATCGTGCTGCGCTAGCAGCTCAGGTTCTAGAGGCGCGTACGCAACTCCAAAATGCATTGACTGCAATCACTGTTACCTACGACTTTGGCACGCAAAGTACGGTCTGTGCTCACGACATGCGTAGGATCGACTCTACGCTGAGTTCGATCCGCAAATACCTCTTGGGGTCGAAAGAGCTCAAGCGGAGTCTGGGCGACCTCAACCTACTATGCTCTGTCATATTTACGGCATGTGCTGACATTTTGGATATGGCCGAGCGAGCACGTAAACAGGGGCCTGCTGGGAATACGCAGTCTATTTGGACCGAAGCCAACACCGATATACGAGCCAAGCATGGATTCGAGCTTACGAGCGTCTTTGACTACAGCTGGATATTCGCCAACAGCTTAGAAGAGGTGCTGATACTTGGCAAAGCTGAACCAGATGCGATGGGACGAGCGCGTCATATCCTGGAGACCTATGGTGTCAAGCAGAAGGGACAAGATGCTGAAGGTATCCGCGACCATCTGGATGAGGTGCTGTATGTGCGTGAGGCTGAACAGCCCACTCCAAGGATCCGTGGACTCGTCCAAGTTCATCAAATACCCCCCGTAGCGAGACTTTACATACTGGGACAGCTGGAAGCGAAACCAACGATGGCGAAACCCTCGAATCGCTTCAACCACACTGTTTGCCTACTGAGAGATGACATCACGAAACTGGAGGTCGACATCGTGGTAAACTCAACTGATCCAAGCTTCTCCGGAATGGGTACTCTAGATCGCAGCATCTTCAGGAAAGGAGGAGATGAGTTGCGCTCGGAAGTTTCGACTTTCGGGAAATGTGAAGAGGGCGATGTCAAAGCGACTGCCGGATACCTTCTCCCAGCCAAACACATCCTGCATGTTGTCCCTCCTGGGGTGTTCAGAAGCGATACCAAGAACATCTTGAGGAACATCTACCGGGCAGTTTTGCATGATGCCGTACTCATGAGGGCGACTTCCATTGCGATACCCAGTATTGGAACTGGTATGCGAAACTACCCGCGGCGCGACTGCGCATCATTGGCCATGGAGGAAGTGAAACGTTTTCTGGAATCCTCTGAACCGGGTAATGGGCTTGATAAGATCATCTTCGTGGTCTTCTCTTCGAATGACGAGTTCATCTATAAGAGCCTTTTACCGGTGTACTTCCCGCCAACGAAGGGCAATGCTTCGCCTACTATCTTGGCGGAACAGCCTGCGCAGGTCGAGG